TGGTGTATTCTAAGCACCAACCTTTCAGTTAGCAGGCAAATAAGCACCAAACTTTCAGTTAGCAGGTGAGTGTTTAATCACTGCACCACTAGAGCTCCTTTTTTTTTTAATTAAATAAATTATTGAGAGATGTGTATTGAAATCTGTGACTATAATTGTGGGTTTGTGTGTTATCCTTACAGTTCTGTCTGTTTTTGCTTCAGGAATTTTGGAGCTCTGATATTAGGTGTATGGAAGTTCAAATTGTCACATCCTCTTGATGAATTTTAATCCTTATCTATTGTGTGTTTTTTTTTTTTTTAAATCTCTGGTAATATTCTTTGATCTGAAATGTACTTTGATTTTAATATAGCTACTCTAGCTTTCTTTTGAATAATGTCACTATTAAATACAGTGTTCAGTATTAGATTTGGTTAATTCATGTTGTATGTAGCTCTGTTGTTGTTATATGTGCCATAGAGTCGGACCCGAGTCATAGTGACCCCTCCCTTGGGTTTCCTGAGGTGGTATCACTACGGAAGTATATTGCTCAACCTTCCTTCCAAGGAGTGGCTGGTGGGTTTCAACCACCAGCCTTCTTCTGTTTAGCAGCCAAGTGCCTTAGGCACTACGCTACCAGAGCTCCTGTAGTTTGTTTATATAGTGTCCATTAAAAAGCAAAAATACCTTTTTGATGTCCAAGGTGCACCTGACCCAAGCAGTAGTCTTTTCAGTAGACTCATATGCATGTAAAAATTGAACAATGAGAAAGGAAGACAGAAGAATTGATGCATTTGAACTGTGGTGTTGGCTAAGATTATTAAATATATTATGGACTACCAGAAGAATGAACAAATCACTGTGAGAAGAAGTACAACCCTAATGTTCCTTAGAAGCAAGGATGGTGAGGCTTTGGCTTGCTTATTTTGAACTTTTCATTAGGAAAGACTAATCACTAGGAAAGGGAGTCATAGTTGGTAAAGTCGAGAGGGTCAGTGAAAATGAGGAAAACCTTAATGAGATGGATTGACACAATAGCCAAAATAATGAACTCAAACCTAGGCAAGGGTTATGAAGATGGCCCAGGGCTAGGTAATATTTTCTTCTGTAATAATTATGTCACCATGAGTCAGAGTGACTTGACTGCAGCTAAGAACAACAACCCGGTGTCCAGTGTATCAATAAACTATAATTTATCCATTTTACTGTTGATGGATGGTGGTTACTTTTGTAATACTCATTCTTACTGCATTGTATCATACAATCAGGATGATATCACTGTTGAATGTGAACATTGATCACCTGATGCATTCTTTATTTCCAGTGAAATTTATAGGGATTAATTCAGATTGTAGAATCTCAAATGATTTAAGATTACTTTCTCTATCAGCTTTTTATTGACTAGTGTTTTTAGGGAAGGTAATGAAATCGTGGTAAAGTAGCTCTAGATTACATATAGAAATTATATTTTATTTAAGTTTTTTAGTTTACAAAGGAAACTAAATTAGCTTTATCGATTATTATCTTGGATGGAGAATGATTGTGAAATTCAACATGTTCTTAGACTTTGTTGTACTTAACCTTAGAAGGCTGAAGAGAAGTACACAATAATGAAATATTTGTATATAGTCAGCTGTTCAAATGTGAGCAATTCTCATATGATCTCTGATTGGATTTTTCATTTCTGTAAAAGATGACAAAGTATCAATTCAATTACTATATGAGAAGTAAAAGAAGGAAAGTAGTAGAAGCCGTAAATGAAAGTCATGAGATAGATAATGAAAAGCAATTTCAAATGATGTGATAATTGATGACTGATGGAAGGAAAGCACTCACTGTATTTGAAACTAGAAATTTATAAAACCACTTTATTGCGAAGAATATTTTAAAGATAGATAATCCTTCTTGTGCTCCAGTCCCACTGAAAAGATGACAGGACAGCTAGACTGATCTTAACCTACAGATACATGTTTAGTTTTCCCTTATGGAAAAACCTTGTTCCCTTACCCTTTTTCAAAAATTTTAATTACTAGTTTTTGCTGCTGAGCATATTGCAGAATAGTTTTTTGTCGTCTTCGTTTTCTATGGCTTCTTTTAAGTGCTTTGACACTGACTGCCCCCAGTGAAGATTATATTTTCTGATTCCTTTTACTTTGCACTCAATATCAAAGATAATAGGGACCTCCAAAGGTTATAGATTTGCTGTTAAGGCTGTGCTGACTCCCACATACTAGCTTTCATAGCTATGTCTCTTCTGCATGGCCTTTGGCGAAGCTTTCTTTCTTTTTTTTAATTGTGATTTGGGTGAAAGTTTACAGAGCAAATTCACTTTACATCCAGCAGTTTACATATACCTTGTCTCATGACATTGACTACAACTTACCACAATGCAACAGCTCCCCTCCCAATTTCTCCCCATAGCCATCTCTTACCTGTGTCCTTCCCTCCATGCACTCCTGCCCCCTGAGCTATCTCCCTGTACATACACAGCCCTTCTTTTCTCTCTTGACTGTTCTCTACAAGGAGTGTATCTATCTAGTATAAGTGTTCACCTCATATGCCTGTCATTTGTTTGACTGGAAGCCACAGTAGTGGGTTCAATTCTAGATCTGAAGGGACAGGTAGGGGCCATAGTGTCAGTGGTTCCATCAGGCTCTATCGGACCAGCAAACCTGGCCCCCCCCCTTTTTTCCCAAATGATTTTGAGGTTTGTTCTACATTGTTCTCCCACTCTCTACAGGATCTCGTACATAGATCCCCCTCCGAGTGGTTGACAGTGGTAGCCGGGCACTATCTAATTCTTCTGGTCTCATAGTCGTATAGGCTGCAGATTGTGTGGTGTACCAGTCGCTTGGACTAATTGTTTCCATGAATCTTTGGTTTTCTTCATTCTTTTTTGCTCTGGGTGAGGAGAGACCCATCTAGATGGATCATATAGATGTCTGGTTGTAAGCTTTAAATATCCCAGTTGCTGCTTGGTGAAGCTTTCTATATGCCTGTCTTGACCTGAGTATTTGATCTGGAACTAGACTAGTTTTCAGGAGTAAGGAATTAATCTAAATTGGCTTGCTCTATGTTATTAGGTGCACAAGATGGCAGAAGAACAGGATGATTTAGTTTCCTAAACCAATGAATATTTTATAATACTGTTTTGATCACAGGCGAAAATGGACTTACCATAAGGGTTTTTAATAGTTGTAAAATAAAATAGGTGGAACTGGTAACTTTTTTTTTTCCTTTTCTGAAAATGGGAGAAGAAATTATGTAGAGTTGTATCTTACTGTTTTCTCTCTCTTTGGAAATTGATGGTAATAACTTTTTTCTTATTAGACTAGAATAAAAGCATTTAATAATAAATAAAAGGCTGTTAATCCATTAGGATCCTCAAGAATAGTTTTGGGCATTGCATAGCAGTTACTCTCCCCATGCTTCTAATTAAAGGTAACAGTTGCGGTGTGGTAAATTACCTGATAGGCTTTTCTAGCCATAAGTCTTTGTAAACTCTGTGGTGGAATTTGCTGTGAGCAATTGAGGACCTCCTGATTGTTAAAGTTATCCACCTGGGGTATTTTTGTTGTGTGGCGCAAAGCAATGTTTTCACTCTCTCTCAGGTGCTTAGAATTCTGATGTTATGATTGGTTAGTTTGGCCACTCTGCCAGGCTCAAAAGGAGGCCTCTTAGAGACAGAAGTCTCTCTGACTGTTGGCTGCGAAAGACGTACTGCTGAGAGAAACATGCTCCTGAAAAACATGCGCTGCTGAGAGAGAGAGACGCCGAGAGACACACGCTGCTGGGAGAGAGACTGAGAGAGACTATTGGCTGAGAGATGGCAGGCTGAGAGAGATTGAGCATTGTTCCTGAACTTGAATTGTAGCCTGATGCTTCCCTGACAAACCCCATCATCTGTGAGTTCTGTGTGGCTACTGCAGCAAATTATCAAACCCAGTAGAGAGGTGGTGGGTACTGCGGGAGGAACAGTTGGTAAAAAGGCTGGAGGGAGGCAGCATGTCGGGGCTCGCGGGAATAGGCCTCGGGCTGCTGATGGTGATTTGGTCTTCCTCTTGTGTGGGGTTAGAGGAGGGCCTCGCTGCCCCTTTGGGAACAGTATTGGAATTATTATATCTTTATTGTTATATCAGTTAATACTCCTGGAACTTGTCAATTTAATGTAATTCTTAACCTTACATTTTAGAAGTAACTCATTTCTATTATTTTTGGCATTTGTTAGAATGGGATGGATTTCTCTTTGTCAAAGCATAGTCATTATAGTCAGATCCATATTTATTTGGTGATTCTTTTAAAAAATATGTAACTGTCTCTTTATGGCCGATAAGAAGCTTCTGATTTTTTTAACATAAATTGATCCACACTTCCCTAAAAATGACATGTGAATGAAGGTCTTGCTGAGGAACAGAGAGACTTTGTTAAGAGAAATGTTTTCATACACAGTAACTTACCTCCACATGCCACTTTGTTGTTGTTGTTATTTGCCGTCGAGTTGGACCCAACTCATAGTGACCCCTCCTTGGGTTTCCGAGGCAGTATCACTGCAGAGGTAGATTGCCCCATCTTCCTTCTGAGGAGTGGCTGGTAACCGCCAGCCTTCTGGTTAGCAGTCAAGTGCCTTAGGCGCTACGCTACCAGAGCTCCTTAGGAATAGTAATTTTGTTACAATGTACTTGAATGGCCTGAACTACTAAATATTACCTCTCAAAATATAGGTTAACTATGTTGAAAGGGATTTTACACATAGAAAGAGGACTTAATCAAGAAACTAATAGCCAGTTGCCATTCAGTTGATTCTGACTCATGGCAACCCCATATGTGTCAGAGTAGAATTGTGCTCCATAGGGCTTTCAATAGATGATTTTTCAGAAGTCGGTTGCTAGGTTTTTCTTCAGAGTTGGTCAAGAAAGAAGAGTTCATATTTTAAAAAATTTACTACTTAATTTTACTGACTCCAATCTTGTCTCAGTACTTAAAAAGGCTAATTGATATGTTTACCTTTGCTTTTCTAGTGATATGCAGCTTTCGAGGATCTGTCCCTCAAGGCTTGGTCCTAGAAATAGGAGAAACGGTCCAGATTCTTGAGAAGTGTGAAGGTGAGTATTAACCTGTAAAACACATAAATAGTGATCATTTCTGACAGTATTGTATCTTATGTTAATCAATTATAAGTAGTCATTTTGAAACCATACTTCAGCGCAAAGATATGAGCTTTTTTGCCCTAATCTAACAGCAACAATTAAGAAACTAATTGTTGATTGTTAGAACGTGATTTTATACATGATGTAAAGTGATTGTTAATTGATCTTTTATATCAAATAATCTTCCAGTCATGTTTAGCTGCATGTGAATAGAATCTGAGTAGTGAACTGTAATGAACTTTGCAGTCAGTTCATTTGCATGTTTCTGTGATTGGTTGGATATGTTCAGTAATAATGAAAACAAGGCAGTAAATATGCTTAACTGAAAATTGAGTTGATAAGTACTTTCTTCTGTGACAATACACAGATATTTCTGCCGTAATCTTTATACATTCCTGAAAAATACTGTGTTCTTCAAAAGTATGCACAAAAATGAACAGGATTTATGGGAAAAATAAAGTTAGGGAAGAATCATGCAAAATCAGAGCATTAACATAAACAAAAGTTTTACCTGGGAAGATAACGTGGGCAGCCAAGGCTAGTATAGTATATCAGCATGGCTAGAAGCTATCTCAGAGGATATAACAGAATGGAAATGTTGCAGTGTGAACATGGAGGCAATGTGTGCAGAACTGTAACTCTGATCCAGTGAGGCTCTTGTTAAGATAGTGTTTTGGTTACCTCTAGTGCTATCCAGAAGGCTGGCAGTTCAAACCCACCAGCCACTCCTCGGAAGGAAGATGGGGCAATCTACTTCTGTAGTGATAGTGCCTCAGAAACCCATGGAGGGGTCGCTATGAGTCAGGGCCTACTTGATGGCACACAACAACAACAGTGCTGCTCTAACAGAGGACACCACAAATGGGATGGCTTTTACAAACAGGAGTTTATTCTCTTACATTTTTGGAAGCTAGAAGTCTGAGTTCAAATTGCCAGGCTCTAGGGGCTGGGTGAAAGCCCCTTGACCTTAGGGTTCAGCTCTGCCTCTTGCTACTGGCCCAGTGAAGCTGGACAAATCTCTTCACTCAGGCAGCTGCTGACTGCTGAGGCTTACAAACCCAAGGTCAACAAGTAAAAAAGCACAGTCCTGATATTACCCAACCACATGGCAGGCCATTGATTGAAGTCCTTTAAGAGTCCCAAGATGGGCAGACAACATGGCAGGCTGTTGAACAATGACTTGGCTACATGCAGGATTCAAGTGTGCCAAAAGCTGCAGACCATTCCCAAAGCTTCTCCTTACATACCAGAAGCAGATAATATCTCTAAAGCAGCTATATAGCCGCTCACAGCAGATTCCATCATGCAATGGATTGCCAGTCTCATCATAGGGAATAACTATCACCAGCTGCCCAGTCACTCAAAAACAGACTCAGCCAAGTTGACATATAACCACAGATGGGTACAAGAGGAGGTGTAACTCACTGCAACCCAAGAACCACACAAATTTGGGAGTATACTCCTCTGGAAAGGGACCTCTAGAAGCAACACTCGTAAAATAATTTCTAAAATTTGAATTTTCTTTAAACAGAAGTGTAAATCAACACCCTTTTCTGATAAAAATACCATAGTAAAATATGCATAGAAGGAAATTTCCTTAGTCTGATAAAGGATAGCTACTAAAAAACTTACAGCAGACATCATATTTAGATGTGAAATACTTAAAACTTGCCAACTGAGATCTAAGAATGAGATAGGGATACCTACTATCACCATTTTTGTTGAAAATGAGACAAGGATATTTGCTGACAGCACTTCTATTGTATTAGGGGTACTGTTGTTGTTGTTGTTGTTAAGTGCCATCGAGTCGTTTCCGACTCATAGCGACCCCATGCACAGCAGAACAAAACACTGCCCGATCCCGCGCCAGCCCCACAATCCCTGCTATACTTGATCCCATCATCGCAGCCACCATATCAATCCATCTCATTGAAGGCCTCC